CATGACGTTCGTACAAACACTTCTGGAATTAGCGTCAGCTGAAGAGTTAAAACACTTTTATAAATAATAGCCAACTAGTAAACAAGACATTACCAAATAACAGTTTCAGATCCCAATCTCTGCAGACATAGTCAGACAATTGAATTGATCTGAAGTATTGAGCAGAAATTGTATTCTTAAAAATCTGTAGCTGTTTCCAAATTAAGGACCGGTGTTTGTGATCAGCCTATTGTGTGCAAATGAAGGGGAGTTCACAAGGAACAAAGACCCATAATGAATCAACATTTTAAATAAGAGCATTTTAGAATCTTACGGAAATATATTAAGACAGGACAAGTGCACTTAGCATGGAGGATATTTATCATAATCCCTCCAAATTACATTAGAAGCTACAGAAACAAAACAAAACAAAAACATTATTAAAATGCACAAGAAAATAAATTGTTTCTGATGAGATGGATGAAGATTTTTTTTTAGAGCGCAGGAATGGTCTGTAAACATTTTAAACGTCTGGAAACGTGATACTAAAATTACTACCACCCTTAAAAGAACAAAGATTAAAACCAAAAAAAAAAACAGGATTATGTTCCCTTACAGGCCAAATTATAAAACCTTTGAAATTTACTAAAGAATTAGAAAACCTGAAAAAAGTAAAAATGAAAAGAAAAAAATAAAGGGAGAAAAAGGTGGGAATATATATATATATGTGTGTGTGTTGGAAGGCCATTTGGCCTGAATTTGTGGGAGGAGTTATGACCCTATTTAAACCCTACCCCCCTACTTACCTTTGTCATGCAAGCGGTTTGTCTTCTCCATAGCAACCAGCACTTCCAGTCCGTTGTTCCACAGGCTTCTACCCGACTTCGCTACTCTGCTTCCGGTCACGAGACCGGCACGTCCACGTAAGCTTAACGTGGGAAATAGCGTGTGGCTATTTCCCACGCTTGGGCCTAAAACCGCGGGGATAGGCTCCTTTCATTACTTACCTGTTCGTGCACTACTGCACCAAAAGATCAGGGTGGTGCAGTAGACATTGCTTACCTAGATTTCAGTAAGGCTTTTGACACTGTTGCACATAGAAGGCTTATCAATAAATTGCATTCTTTAAGTTTGGATTCCAATATTTTTGAATGGGTAAGGCAGTGGCTGAGTGACAGGAAACCAAGGGTTGTAGTCAATGGAGTATATTCGAAGCTTGGGCTTGTCACCAGTGGGGTACCTCATGGATCTATACTTGGACCCATTCTCTTTAATATTTTTATAAGTGATATTGCAGAAGGTCTTGATGGTAAGGTATGTCTTTTTGCTGATGATACTAAGATAAGTAACAGGGTTGATGTTCCAGGAGGGATAAGCCAAATAGCAAATGATTTAGGTAAACTAGAAAAATGGTCAGCATTGTGGCAACTGACATTTAATGTGGATAAGTGCAAGATAATGCATCTTGGACGTAAAAACCCAAGGGCAGAGTACAGAATATTTGATTGAGTCCTAACCTCTACATCTGAGGAAAGGGATTTAGGGGTGATTATTTCGGATGACTTAAAGGTAGGCAGACAATGTAAAAGAGCAGCAGGAAATGCTAGCAGAATGCTTGGTTGTATAGGGAGAGGTATTAGCAGTAGAAAGAGGGAAGTGCTCATGCCATTGTACAGAACACTGGTGAGACCTCACTTGGAGTATTGTACACAGTACTGGAGACCGTATCTTCAGAAGGATATTGATACCTTAGAGAAGGTTCAGAGAAGGGCTACTAAACTGGTTCATGGATTGCAGGATAAAACTTACAAGGAAAGGTTAAAGGAACTTAACATGTATAGCTTGGAGGAAAAACGAGACAGGGGGATATGATAGAAACATTTAAATACATAAAGGGAATCAACACAGTAAAGGAGGAGACTATATTTAAAAGAAGAAAACTACCACAACAAGAGGACATAGTCTTAAATTAGAGGGACAAAGGTTTAAAAATAATATCAGGAAGTATTACTTTACTGAGAGGGTAGTTGATGCATGGAATAGCCTTCCAGCTGAAGTGGTAGATGTTAACACAGTAAAGGAGTTTAAGCATGTGTGGGATAGGCATAAGGCCATCCTAACTATAAGATAAGGCCAGGGACTAATGAAAGTATTTATAAAATTGGGCAGACGAGATGGGCCGAATGGTTCTTATCTGCCGTCACATTCTATGTTTCTATGTACTTCTGCGTTCGTGCGGCTAACAGCTAACCGCAGAGTACACACGCTTTACCTTTGTTTAAATCAAATTTACCGACCGCACATACTTACCCTACGTTCGTCTGTTCTTCCGTACGTTCGTACAGCCGAACACATTCAAATGTTTTTTTTTCGTGCAGCCTTTCGTTAGTTTTCCACTTAAACAGACTGCAGCTAGTTATACAATTGGCTTTCGTTTAACTCTTTTCGTATGCTCCATTTAACCGAACGCAGGTGTTCTTTCTATTTACAGCTCTCTTGTTCATTCGTTTAAACGAATGCAAGAGGCTACAGAGTTTAAATTTACAAATCTACTGCCAATGTAAATAGTTACGCCATTTACTTAAACCAAGCACTCACATTATTTTATCCTAGTTGAATTTATGTTTTTTTTTATTATATGGCTCTTAAAGTCACCACTGGTTAAATAATATGTGTTTCACTATTCCCGTCCATGGGCACATAATTATGGGACACCTATTTTCACAGGGTAATCTTCTTAAGGCATAGTTTGGCCACTTTCTCTTTATAAGTAAAAAAAAAAAAAAAAAATACACCTCCAGGCATTATTATCTAACCCTGCGGGGACTTAGTCTATTGTACTTTCATTAATGTATGTCTTTTAGCCAACTAAGGTCGCTCTGCTCATAGGTTAAGCCCTTACGGTTCTTTTTCCTCAGACTCATTACAGACCATTAACATGATTTTAAAACCTTCGTTCCTTAAAAGACCTTATATACCGGTTCCTTACACTTAGACTGCATATGTTTAGGTTCTACTACTTTCCTCCAAACAGTCTTCAAGAAGATGTGGTATCCCAGTATCCTGTGTTACTGTATC